CTGGTCTTATGCAATGGCAGAGATGAATGGACAGGGTTTGGGAGCATTGGTGCTTGTGGGTAAGTTGGTCGTAATGGTGGCCCAATGGGGCAAAGTTGGTTGGATTCATCTTTTCTGGACACCAACTTGTCTACACCTATCGGTAACTCACTACTTGTCTAACCGAAGACAGTGGCTAAAAATATAGTATTGTCGCATTAAATCCACTTTTATTCGAGAACCCAAACCTGCTATAACAGTAATCGAGCCTGAGCAAATGGAAACATCAAACCCAAATAAAAACGGGATAGAGCACTATGTGACCACTCGAGGGGAAAGGGGACCAGGATTTATTTTACTTACTTATTCTTAGGAATGCTAACAAACTTGGCTTGGAGAAAAGAAAAATCATATTAACAAAGACTTAGCATAAGTCCTATTCCTAAGTACCAAAGTACAACATTGAGCTCTAATCGCTCCTAAGTCTGGAAATAATACTAGAAAATCAGAGGGCAGAAAGATGCAATTATGTATGACAAAACACATGCATACGTCGTCAAAGGCGCTATAGTTGGAGAGATTTAGAATGAGATTCATGACTATGAGGAACAGAAAATGCCTGTTCTGTTGTATGATTATATGCTCTGAAATATTTCTAGAAAAAGAAAGTCCCCTTTTTATTATTATCATACAATGCATCTCCCCGAACCAACTAGCCGTGGTTTGTTTTGATTTTGCATTGCAGATTTCAACTGGTGGATTAAGACACAGGTCAACGGTGAGAGGCAGACAGAGATAAAGACAATGAGAAAAGGAGAGAGAGGAAGGCTAAAGAAAGAGAGGTGATGGGGCAGTCAGCGGGTCGACAGATGGACGAAGATACAAAGATAAACTGCGACACGACAGACATATAGAGACAGAAAGGCAAGGCAACGTGAGAGCAAGGAGGGGGGAAGATGCACCTATGCATAAAGAGATCATTTTCTCCAACACTTCACTGTACATCCAAACCACGTTTACCTGCACACACCTGAGCCCATGGTCCCTCAGGTGTTCAGTTACCTACAGAATAAAGGCAACATTCTTGCCTCTCACGCAGGCTTGGGTTTCAGCCACATTTGGACAAACACCAGACAGTGAGAAACTTAATCCAGCATACACTGTGGAGGGTAAATAAGCGAGCGTTGCATCATTGTAGGTCACAAGTGGAAATCGGGTTTGTACAGGTCCATATTTGCATTATGGAGGAGGAGGGGAAAGAATAATACCACAATGTTTTTCCTCTGGCAAGGGTTTGGGTTCTTAGAAATGACTCCTCGCAAATCAGAACATGCTTACTTAGCAGTTATTACTGAGACACCAAGTACACAAAACGTGCACAAAATGAAGACAGATCCAAGGCGCTCTTCTAATGAAACATTTAGAAGTCTTTATTCAGATGGCGATTCCATGGTGAAATTCTTACAAACATGAACCAGACATGTAAGGTACGAGCTGAGTTTTCTACCCATGCACAGTGGCACAAGCAGCCTTACTCAGGGTGTAGACCTCTGCACCCAGGTTCCTTTTAGTAGATACAAGATAATTGCAACTGAAGGGAAAGCAAATTAACTAACAGATGACAAACACAAAGTATGACCACTAGGTGGCTGTGCGACAGGAGTCCTCATGACAGGCACAGGATGTAGCTGAATCTAGGAAATCCTACAATCCCCTGAAATACAGGATATCTGATTACCCAGACACCTGCCTGTCAATAACAAAAAAGCTTTGCTTAATTGACCATTACAGAATACTTTCAAATGTGGCTTTGGCAACCATTTTGCTTTCAGACTCATTAGGTGGTCAAAATTGTACTAATTGCAATACCACACTTGTACTGCATTTATCTTGTACATGTGGTTGTTTTTATATAGGCCGCGCTAAGACATGACTAATATACATACATGGAAGCTAATTTACCCTAGATCTAAGCACGTTCATTTGAGTAGATAATAGTAATAGTAACAGATGAGAAACCATCGAAAAGAACATTCGGAGAAACTTGTGTCCTGAGAGCTTCACCCTGAAGAAAGCTTTTTGTGCTGCAGTGCATTACAAAGCTCTTTTTTAACATGCATGGTCTGCATTTAAGAATTTCATTATGAAAGTGCCACCCTGATAAAGGCCTTTTGACTTTGTCATGAGTGCCTTTGATTTTTTTTTTTTCTCTCCTTAATTGTAGTTTGTTTAAATGTCTCAGCACTAACCTAATCACTAACTTGTGGTTATGTCCCAGTTGAAAAACCCAAATGCAAAAGTTTGTGGAACGCTTTAAGGACAAGCCAATGCACAACATGCTGAGCATTTTGTGAAGTTTCCCAGCTTTTAACTTCAGGCAGAGTCAGTCAACTGACATGAACTGTGTTGTGGTCCTCCAGCAGGCTTGGGTTAATGGTGTCATGACATCAGGGAGAGGGTATTAACAGTGTATAAGCCTAGACTAACCAGTGCTGAATGACTGCTGGCTGACGCAAGACCCCATGGAATGCTGCCTAGAGCACGACCACAAGCTCTTATACCACCAATACCAGTCCACAGGATATCTCTGCCCCTTTTTCACTTGGGTGGCAGCTAAAACTATGTGTACAAGCATGGGCTAGGGGGAATACACAAGTCTATACGTACTTGTACATCAAGAGAAGAGCGCAAGATGACAATGAAGCTCAAGCTTTGGTTATGCAAAACATCTTTGGGGTGATCGCTGCCAAGCATACAGTATTTCTATCAAAAAGTGGTGGAGAATGAGCATCAGAACAAAATGCATTTTGGGAGTTTGAAGATTAAAAAAAAAGACAAAGCACACACGTCTGTCTCAGAGCGGGCTGAGTATAGCTTATTGTAAGTATAATTATGTGCAATATGTGCAGTCAGCAGTCTTTTGGCAGCCTGCAGTCTTGCAGGGTTCATGCCCTGTCATGCCTATGCTTACTGAGCATGGACTTGAAATAGCAGGACTGGTGCTGAGGGGGTGAAAGAAACCACAGCTCCAGCGGTTGCCATGTACACAGAGATGTGACCACAACATAATTAAATAAAAGAAAGCAGGAAATAATGGGCAAGGAAAGAGAAATCCTCTTTGGTTGTGAATGGTAGGGTGTAAAAAAATACTACATGCTTGAGAAGGACCGACTGTAGCATGTTTCAGACGGTACGTAGCAGCAGGCCACGTGATCACGCTACTTCACATTCAACCACACTTGTTGACATGCTGAGAAGCATGCATGTGTAAAGTGCTCCACTGTCGGTTACCAAGTTGAGTGAAATATCAGTGGTTTGCCAGATTGTGTGTTTCACTACAGTTGACTCCAGTGGAGTAGCTGACTGTAGTTTTGTTACCTTAATTCAGAGAGGTATACTGAGATTTCATTTTAAACTAATATGTTTAACAATGCAGGACTTGAATCCAATAATCATTTAAGGTTAGGGTAATCACTCATAATCACCACACACAATATTAATTAATGCCTACAACTTGGTTTTATCAAGTATTTCCTTGACCACCCAGGCCCCGCCCATGGAAACAGAAGCTCAGCAGCTCTGCAAGAGCAGCTGTCAAACGTATTTTCAGTGGCAACAAATGTACACTGACAAAACAGATTTGTACAGACTCAATACAAAAATCGGACATGTGCGTTTCCTCCTTCCAGTCATTTCCAGCGAGAGCCCAGCTCTGCATTCAAATGCACGAGGGCCAAACACAGATAGTTCCCACTGTCATAAATTTGTGTGGTTATGCAACTTTGTGCCGAAACCACATGCAGCCAATAAAGAAATTGATTTGGACAAGTGCCCAGAATGACAGGGCACATTAGACCATATATGAGGAGTTGCTTTGTTAAGACGTTTGCGCATTAAGTTAGATTAGATAATGATCGGGCTGCCTCGCCCGCACTTTGTCTATTAATATTAAACACAGTTTCTCAAACTGGCCCATTGTATTACTGAGGCAACACGCCACATCACTGACTTGATATAAGCTGGAGTGGCCTTTTGAACAATTTAACGATACAGCAGCGTATTGAAGTGGTGCATCTGCAGTTACATGTGCAGTAGAGCTGGATTTAGTGAAGGCTCGGAGATGAAAGCCTGGGCCACATTTGATAAGACTTCCCAACACACTTTGCTCTCACAGCCTGTTCACTCAGTGCAGACCTGCTTAACAAGTGCACCGGTAACATTTACACCACAGTCATCTGGCCTCCCTCTTATTGTGCTGCGTTGCCTGTGGCTCAGCTCAATTCAACAATTGCTCACTTTATTGGGGACCCCCCTAGAACCCACCAAAGGATCCCCCCACCTCTCTGCAGTGGTGGCTCCATGAGTGTCCCTGGGAAAACGCCTCGCTCTCTACCCCCACCCCCAAAGCAAACGCAGCCAAAGGGATAAGACGATAAGGAGAGACTGGCGAAACTCTAACAGAATTGAGTTGGGGGGGGGGTCTTACTGGATGGAAAGTGGGCTGTGGGCCACTGTAGAACTGCTGTTGCGCAACCGTAAACAAGGCAGGTTGTTGGAGGGGCTCGACTGAGTGATTGGAAAAGGGGCAGGGGAGAAGGAAGGCTGGGGGTGTCTCCGTGCGGAAGCTTCCCACCTACAGTGAAGTCAGTGTGGACTGATCCAACAGTTCGACCCGAAGAACAAACTTGTTTTCTAAGTTCAATGAGTGGCAGCGAGGAGGAGTAAGAGGAGGAGGAGGAGGCATGGAGCCAGGTCCCGCTACGGCGCTTACGTTACGCGCAGGGCGAACATGGGCTCCGACCCGCAGAAAACGCAGCGCGTCATCGCCGTCCGCACATTATGACAACTTTGATTTCACGCGTTCTCACTCTGCGTGGACTTCTCTCATTTACACACACACACACACACACACACACACACACACACACACACACACACACACACACACCAAGTCAATGTTGCATCCAGCCAGGAAGGAAGGAGCCGGAGAAGCGCTCCTTCATCCGGTAACACACACTCACCTCACAGCCCGATCAAGCCGAGGCAGGCGGGCCGGTGTTCGGTGAAGCTCGGGGACTCGGAGCGGGGCAGAGTGGAGGTGAACTCGGCGGCGGTGGATCAGCCCACGGTGGTCAACATTCCCGGAGCGGACAGAGGCGCAGAGAGGAGGAGGAGGAGGAGGAGCAGGAGGAAACAGTGGCTGCGAAGACTGCAGGCTGCTCATCTCATGCGGCCGGGGAGGACACACACTCACACACACACTCACACTTGCACACACGCGCACGCTCACAAACAACCCCTCCCCTTTCTGATAGGCCACGCCCATTCGCGAGGGGTGATTAATGCGGCGTTCACGTCCTGTATGGAACGAGGGCGTGTTCTCAGGAGTCCGCTTTTATTTGTGTAGAGCTGCATCACTGGGATTTAAAGTTGTGTGTTTGCTGTGTAAAACACACAAACACACGCACACAGAGTGTGTATTAATAAGTTTTCATATACAATGTTTCTTTAATATTATCATCATTGTTATTATTACTAGCAATAACAGCTTGTATGCACTATAAGGGTGTCTGGTCAGTAATGGTGTGTGTGTGTGTGTGTGTGTGTGTGTGTGTGTGTGTGTGTGTGTGTGTGTGTGTGTGTGTGTTATCCAGTCCTCCAATTATTTTACAGATCTAAAAATAATTTAGATTTATACAGTAGCTTGCATTTGCCTGAAACTCCTTAATCTTAATCTGCTCTGATCTCACAATAAATATAAACTTTTAAAGTGATTCATGTCGCACTTCACTTGTCACACAGAGACAGGCCACTAATTTAACGTAAATATTAAACCATTGGAACATGAATGTAAAGGACAGCCCGCATGTGAAAGTCAAATGTGAAATATTATTGTTCCTATTGAAATCAAAGTTTTCAACTTATGTCCACACCTACATGCCGCTGATTATTACTGAGCTGAACACTTAGTTGGTTATGATATATTCAGCAGGGAGACTGTGGCTCAGGAGACAGAGGGACGACCACTCACCAGAAGATCATTGGTTTGATATCCGGCCTCTCCAGTCTGCATCTGAGTGCAAAAGTGCAATATAAATACAGTCCATTTACCATAACATTCATCTGTGGGTATGTTAATTCATTACATTTGTCACTGGATTAATGTGGAGCCTCTGTGTAATTCAACAAAACGATTGTTCTACACTTCTGGATTTAAAAAAAACATTAATGGACTAGACAACTGGTTTGCTGCCTCTAAAAATCCATGTCACATGACACTGTTGGACCAATCAGTGTACAGGCTATAACAACAGCTGGAAGTTGATTTATATTTCAATACTTTCATTCAGGATGGTCACAATATAGTCACACTGGTGACACGTGAAGGAAACTGTCCCCACATCATGAACCCTAGAGTCAACTTTTAATTTAAAGCTCTGCTCTGACAGGCACCGTCAGGAGGACCGACACTGGGAGCTGTGAGGTTTTATATTACACAACTGGGGGTCAAATCTCATTGCACCAGAGTTGCCTTGCTGCCAAGGTTGTGTTTTTATTCCTCTGAGCCTTGTGAGTGTATTGCATAAGACCTTCGGATGTTTATGTGACTAAGAGCAACATCATGACGCGTACGTTCAGCTCGTGCGTTATTGAGTTCAGACCGTCAGCTAGTTTACAGCTTATAAATGTTGGTAGAACATTTACAGTAGGAGGAGTGACAGCCCCACAGCTCTGTCAGATAGACACCAGGGAAAACACAGCACCCAGGTCATTTTCCATACAGCCTGGGATATGTACCTACACCAGGGAGGTTATGTTTTCACCCCTGTTCATTTGTTTGTTAGCAAGATTAAAATAAAACACCTTAACAGATTTCTATGAAACTTAGAGGAGGGATGCGGTATGGGTCAAGGAAAAGCTCATTCAGTTTTGGTGCAGATTCGGCAGATCCAAAGATTTTTCTTTAACACTGCAAGATATAGTGTTTTTCATCATTCCTCAGAGAATAATTCATGAATCACATGTTTAGGGGGGCCGGCATTGATGAGGGAAATGTGAAGTGAATTTATATTTCAGGCTGTTGGGCCTTGGAGGAGGTAGGAACTCCACTGAGTGCCGTTCTAGGTCATCAGTACGGAGCAGTGTCTGTTTGTGTGGGTGTGACAACAGGGGGCTCACACACTCAAAGAGGCAGACACAGTGCAGCCGTTGCAACACATACACACTTACAAACAAATGCACACACACATCACGTCACTGATATTTGGTGTGCCACTCTGCAACAAAGCATTCTTCTTATATGAGACACATTATGTAGATTTCACCTCATCAGACATACAGCATCACACAGGTCTTTTGTTGGAATTGATTGATCAGATACATGGTAGACGACGTCGCATCAGAAAACAAAGTCAACATGAACCCCCGCTGACGGTGTGTGTCACTGCTTCCATCACTCAGAAGTCGGGGCAGTCAGGACTAACAAAGCTGTGTAATATCAGCTGAGGATCTGGGTGAATGGCTTTCAATGGGCCGTCTCACAGGAACATGCACAAAAGTTTTTAATAAATGCTGCAGCAGAAAGAACGCTACCTTTCCTGCTGAAAACATATCCTGTAAAATGTTATTGATCCTCACCATATCTTACATATATGCAGCGTTCGATGTGATCTGAATGATGCGATTACATCATCTTAAATTTTAACACTGGTGTGTAACACTCCCTGCCTCGGGCCTTCATTTTGAAACTGTTATGGCAACAAATAACAAATCAACCAATAATGTCGGAGAAGCCGAAACCAAAGTCAGACTTAACTGGATTTATTTCTGTTGTGTTATGTGGTGGGATCTTCTGGTAATTCACATTTGGAGGTTTGGAACCAAACGCAAGCTCTAACACACAAAAATATCACCGTGCCACCCACACCCGCACAGAGAGAGACATCCACCCACCCATACACACCCTTCAGAGATTTGTGCAGCAGATTAGAAAAGCTGGAGACGGAGCATGAATTCTGACCCAAAAAGAGCCTGTGGTCCGTGCAGGAATGTAACAACTCTTTCTGGCCAAAACTACTCTCTGACTCACAAAGCATCCAGAATTCAGACCCCTTCACTTTGCACATTTTATGATGGTGGAGAGCCTCATTTTCATCCATCCCTCTTTCCCACAGCCCTGACCTGAACAACATCTCCACAGTCCAATGCTGCCACTTCCATGCTTCACCGTTGGGATGGTGTTGGGCAGTTGATGACTGGTGCCTGGTTTGCTCAGGGCATGACACTTAGGGTTGAGGCCTAAAAGTTCAATATTGGATTCATCCGTCTAGGGAATCATGTTTCTTAAAGTTAAGTCCCTTATTTTTTTAGGGCAATAACTTTCATGCATCTTTTAGTAGAATTTTTCCATCTTGCCACTTTGCCAAAAAGCCCAGATGAGAGGAGTTCAGCCAGAGTGGCCATCAGGTTCAGTCAGGCCCATTTGAGCACAGGTAACTATGGAACTCAGTGAAGCACATACCTCAAACAAGGGCTAACTTTCTCCTTAGTTTCAATCAAGCTGCACCAAATCACATACACTCATTGATACCAGTTACCCTACCCTCATAAGAAACCATTAGTTAGTGGAGATACTGAAACTCAGTACAAATGTTGAAAAACATCTCAAAGAAAGTGATAATCGGTTCCTGGATCTGCCCCCGATCCAGATCAGGAACATTTAATGGGTTCTTCCCTGGCCCATACCGCATCCTTTCACCAAGTTTTGTGGAAATCTGCTAAGTTGTTTTTGTGAAATCTTGCTTACAAACGGACAGTGAAAAAACAACCTCCTTGGTGGGGAGGTAATCACGGAGTCCACTGTGGCTCTTGGGAACATTCAATGCAGCAGAAATGTTTTTGTAGCGTTCCCCAGATCTGTGCCTCAACATAACTCTGTCTCTGAGTTCTGCACAGTTTCTTCAGTCATGGCTTGACTTTTGCTCTGACAACTGTGAGACCTTATACAGAGAGACGTGTTTATCACAGGAGGACACTGATCTTTTTTTTTTTTTTTTAGAAAGAACTGTGTTAAATGTCACCAAGAAGGGTCTGAATACTTTCAGTTTCTAAAATTCTGTTGTTTGCCTTGTCATTGTGGCATATTCACTGTAGGATGAAGAGGGAAATAATAAATGCAACAACTTTAGCATTTTGCAACGAGGAAAAAGTCAAGGTGTAGGGAATACTTTCTGAATGCACCACATGCCCCTGAGAAAGAGTGTTTTTTAATAATGGATGACAGGATGGAGAGTGTACCATTATATGAAACTTCAATTTTGCGCAGTCATGCAAGAAAATTATATCATTCAAAATTAATAGGCACAGTTAAACCAGCGTCTTTAACTTGTTTACAGCAGATTGAATATCATACATCCAAGATTTATTCACCATGTATTCACAATTCCACTGTTCATTTCCATGTGATTTTGATATTTGTTTCTCGTGGATATAAGGCAGGGTTGCACAATGACTGGTGTTTCAGGAATCAGGAATCCAAGTTAAAGGTTCACGATATGCAACGGTCATTTCATGTGACCACATAGTGATGAGTCAGGCCGATGATCTGCTGCCCGGAATAGTAGCTCATCTGTGTTGTGGCAAGAGGGAGAGACAGAGGTAACAATATATTTCTTAAGGATGACCACAGTCTGCAGAGTCACAGTGCTGGGAGTGGCACATCAGAGTGATGCTGTCCAGTGCAACGTTCATATGACCGTAAGTGAGGAGGGAAAATAACACTTTTTAATTCATTTCGTAATTTCAACGAAAAGAAGACATTACAAAAACTGTTAGCAGCAAGTCCATGTTGTCTTGATTACAAAATTATTTATTGAATCAAAAATTAGGTAGACAAAAATAACGTGTGCAGCCTTCTGAAAAAAAACAAAAAACAAATGTGCAATTACAACTCAAAAAGCAATAGCTTATAAAATGTTTGTGCTATCGTGGCTCTCTATCAAAGATTTTAAACAAATCTATCACAACGATCATCCATCTTTAAAGTTTACAAATATACAATGCTACAATGTGCTGTAGGCTATTGTGTGTAGATGAAACCATCTAGTGGAAATTAAACAACTCTTTCTAGTAAGAGAAAGAAAAAAGCATCAAAAAGCTCTCATGGTTTTCACTCTCAAGATAAAACATAAAACAGTAAAGAAAGGTTTTTTTAAAGTTGAAACAGCATAAATTAAAATAAATCTTACATAGATAATTTCAGCTTCCTTTACTGAGCAGCAAAAAGCGTTTACACCTGAACACGGACGCTCTAGGTTTTTCTACATTCTAAAGATTCAGCGTGAACATCCGACTTTATCCACAACTATACCATTTAATGGTAATGGTGCACTCTCCCTCTATGAGACACAGTGACTCCACACTGTAAACTTCCTACAGAGGACCAGAATGAAATGCACTAACATTTGCCTAAACAAGGCCATAGATAACATCTGCTTATCTACAACTTCTTTTTTTGCATTATATAGCCTTTACACATTGGTGGTGACTGGTTGATTAATCGGAAAAAAACAAAAACAAATCTCTTTGCTCATTGTGGCATCCACCAACGACATACTTCAAAAACTGTGCTTCAAAACTATCAAAAGCCTCATCTAAGTAAGTAATATATCAAAAATGAAGAAGGCATGGTCAATCATATTGCACTGATACAAATATATGTATCTGCAGGGTACAGACCATGTTAGACAATGTTTTTAAATCATAAACAGCAGCAAGTGACAGTTAGAAGCTGAAACAGGAGCATAATGAACTAGTCAGCCCTCATCGTACTCCTCAGAGCCAAGAACTGTAAAAGTTGGCATCATAGACCAAATCGGAGTAAAATAATATGCATGTAATATATGGATCTATCCGTTATATTCACAAGTGTCCTTAAGATTTCATTAGTCTTATTTTTTTGAACAAATATTAAGTAGTCCAAGCGTGGAAACATCATCAGATCCAACTTATTGCACCCTTCAAGGATTTTTCTTTTACAGCAAACATAATATACATAACACTGAGCAACAGTTTAAGGCATCCACAACTTACTGTGGTAAAAGCAAATAAAATAAAATAAAAATATCTGAAAATAGCATCAACAACTTAAATGTGCTTACATTGGCACACGTTTTGTACAACGTTCCAGTTCAAACTACTGAATTCAAGTACAGATGGCAAGATATGTGTAGGAACAACACTATGATATGTGGATGAACACAAGCATCCTCCAGCGAGCTGTTGTTAGAAGCTGAGAAAAAGAATATTATGGATAACCTTGACAGCAAACCTTTCACCTATACCACACCTTTATCAGACAGATGTTACAGGTGTTTGGCGACTAACAGAGTAGTATTCCCCTTACAGGAGGAAATGAAGTGGATGAAAGAAGAGATAATAACTCTTACTGCTTCAAAGCTCCTTTAAAGGCATAAGGCCCAAGACTGGTGGTGAGAGATGTAAGGTTCAAATAATAATAATAATAACATTCACTCAAAATATGACTCAATCCAGTTTTCCAAATGTCTGTTGCAAAAGCACAAAGTGAAAAAAAAGCAAAATCCAAAAATGAAATTTGATAAATGATTCCTCGTTGCGGTGGCGTGGGCTTCCCCTCTCATTGCTATGGGAGGGCTGCGGAGGTTGCTTGGATCGTTCCCAGTCTCCCATTCACATGGATGGTGTTTTTGGGCACAGCCACCTTTTAAAAAGAGACACAACACGTCATGCTTGTGTTTCTCCACTTGGGTGATGACAGGAATAATGGTTTGTTGCATGCTGGGAAGAAATTCAGGTCTGGGATTTTTGGGACGTCACAAGGAAACAAAATGCTTTTAGTTTATTTTGTACTTCACAACATTTTTTTCCAAACATTATCTCTAATAGTCTGAACTTTATCTTCATTAAAGTGTTTATACAGCTGTGCAGTCAGACTGTCAGATGAATCTTTCTATGTGTTATGATCTGTAATTCATTTCCAGTTTCCTGGCTGCTGCAGTGAACAAGAGCTTTCATCTGCCAATGATGTCTTCAGTCCAAAAAGACAAGACGAAAGAAACCAGAGGAAAGATGTGAGAACAAAGAGATTTGTTTTTCTGTTGCTGTCTGTCTGGCCTCTATCTGTTCTCTGTTCTGTCTCTGCCTATTTTCACTCCTGTCTCTCTTTTTGTGCCCTCCCTCTCCTCTTTGATAGGAGTCTCTCTGGGTGGAGCTATGGCGTCCTGTGCACCAAAACTCAAGAAAATACAAAGAACAATATCCATTTCATGCTGAGCTGATGCAAAATTTGAATGTCCAGTGGAAGATGAGTAAAAAGTGTGAAGTGTTGCTGTATTTTTCTTTATTCCTACCTTTTTTAGCCTCTCTGCAGCAGATCCAGAGCGAATGGCCTGCAGCATTGCCTCCCTGGTCGTGGCAGGGTCCATAGGGGTGTTACTGCTTGGATTTGCCACAGCGCTCAGCTTACCCTGGGGCAAGACAGGCGGAGGAGGAGGGGGTGCAACCATGAGCGCAGGTGGTGGTGGTGGTGGCAAGGAGAAGACAGGGGGTGAAGGGGAAGTCAAAGAGGGAGGAGAGGGAGAAGAGGGAGGGTCTATTCCTCTCTCCTTCACAGAGACCAGCTTCCTGAAGTTGTCGAGTTCATCTGCAGCCTCAGATTTTGTCTGCAAAACACAAACGTGTGAGACAACGGTAACTCTAGACACATAAACATGGGCAGGAAGCCCTCCGCTCTGATATCTATCTATCTATCTATCTATCTATCTAATGTATGCATCTATCTATCTATCTATCTACCATGTAAATCAACCTTTGGAAAAATGATTGTTCATGATCATCTTCATGATGCTCATGGCTTAAAACAATCATTTTTGTGTTGCGCATTGTGTCACACAGATTCACGTTTATATTATTTTATTCATTCTTGTAAGGCCATTCAACATGAGTGTTTAGTTTCATTTATATATTTTTTAGAAGCACAACATTTTCAGGACTGATTTAGTCATGCAGCATTCCAGAGATTCCAGTTCTGGTAAAAGGAACCTCCAGAATAGAACCGCAGATGTGTCAGTGACAGCGACACGTTGCTTGCCGCTTTCATTCCACATGGGTCCTTACATGACTGCAAGCCATAACTCACAGTCCACACACAGGGACAGAAATAGACTCCCATGCTTGAGTAGCTTGGTTCATGCGTGGTGTTTTGAACTGCTAATGAGCTAACAACAAACAAATCCAGGTGAGAGAAACATTAAGCTTTTACTTCATACTTATGCCATGCAATTCCAATAAGTACATACACTCTCTGTTGGCATTCTGACATTTGCTAATGAATAATTAAGGCAAAGTAAAATTGAGACTGATAGGACGGAATGTTGAAAGTTATTCAGAAATCTGGTCTAGAGGAAAAGCTACAGGAACAATAAAACTATTATGTATTTATCCTGAGGGGACCATGAATCTTTTTACCAAGTTTTGTAGGAGATGATGAAATGCTATTAACATATAAACAACAGATTTACTATGTGACGCTGGAGGAAAAGTCAGGGGGGTCACCAAAGGGATTCGATTTTATCCTCAGGGGAATAGGAATGGCTACACAAAATCCCATGACAATTTATTTGATACTTGAGTTATTAGAGTCTGGAGCAAAGTGATGTAGCCAATGAAAAACCGATGCTGCCGTCCCATAGAGCCCCAGAGCTTGCTTGGCTAAAAAGAAAAGTAATGTTGATGTGTTAAAGATGTAATTTAAGAATTACAGTGAAGGAGCCATTCAACCAGATATTGATGGACAGTGCAGGGATATTTAACTAACAGCTATAAGAGTATTTCACCTTCCTCAGCCTGCCGGAGGGGCTTTGGGCTCTAATAGCGGCCAGAAGAGCGGACCTCTCATTCTCCTCCTCAACATAAGATCCTTTGTTTGTGCAGCTGGATGCAGAGTTGGATATCTAATAACGAAAGAAAAAAAGTCACACAATTCAGAATAAAGTGCATTTCCATCCCAGCTAGTGAGGAAAGTGTTCTCTTCCAACTCATTCTCATCCATCTATCCACACACTGTGCTACACTCATCCTACCTTCTTGAGCCTGTCCCTGCCTCCCCCTGTCTGGATTGCCTCCATCAGGCTGCTGTGCACAGACGTCTCCCTCTCCACAGATCTGCTGATCACTGGTCTGAACTTTTTAACTGGACCAAACAGCGTCACCGGCTGTGGTGCATCGACACTGTCTGACACTGTGACAGAAGGCTGCGGTCTCGCGTCATGCATTAGATGGGGGGCTGCCTTGGTCATGTCTTTAGTGCTCTGCAGACAAGATGTGGAGAATTAAGTACTCTGTAAAATATGGTATTTTATTGTTAAAACTATTCAGATTATTTATATTTCAAGAGACCCATAACATGCATTTCAATAATCCAGGGTTTTCTTACACTTGGGATACTGGTCTTGGCGGCTGTGGGTGGTTTGGCAGATGAGTGCGGAGGACTGCTTTGTGCAAGGCTGGGGCTTCTTGGCTGAATGCGTTTAATATCGTCTCTGTCATTGTTGGTGGTCACGTTTATTTGGGTGGGGCCACTAGACTGAATGTGCTGATTCTTGGCCGTTTCTCTTTCCAGCGTGTTAGAGCTTCCTTTGGTGGGTCCAACGCAACTTCCAAATCCTCCCCTGTCTGGCCTCACTTCTCCAAAATCTCTCTGGCTCCCCGACACATACTCTGGGAAGCTCATAGACCTCTTGGGACCAGAAGGGTTAGGTTTAGAAGCAGAGTCGTTCTCCTTATTCTCTGACAAAGATGACTGGGAGGACTGGTGTGGATTCACTTGTATGGAGCGACCGAATCTCTGGAAGCCGACAGCCTGTGCTTTCACAGAGGATTCAGGGATGTTGGGAATGGAGTTAGGTTTAGCTGAGGTCTTTGGGGTGTATTTATTGATGGCAGATGCCACATAATGACTTGAAGTTCGCCTGGATGGTTTGAGGAATAACAGGTCTCTTCTCGGGTCTGGAAGGAGTGGAGCAGGAAGGACAGGTTTATTACTTGGCTGCTGAATGTTTTTGGACACTGAAATCTTGTTCTCCATCTCTACCTCCTTAGCAACGTGGATGTCTTTCACTGGTTTTTTAACTTCTTCTTTGACCCTCTCTTTAGGCTGGAGTTTCTCTGCAGGTTTATATGGTATACTTTTTGTTCTTTGCAGGTGCTCAGTGTTACTGGTCTTCCATGTACTGTCTGAAATCGACAATGGAGTGTTGTCCTTAGCTTTATTAATCTGACCTTTGTTTTGGGACACAGGACTTTCTTGTCTCTCATTTGAGCTCCAAAAAGCTTTGGCTTTTCCAAGAAGAGGAGATTCAGGAATTGAGGCATTGATCCCTGACTCAGACGAACCACCAACTTTGCTCAGGGAAATACCCATTTTCATCATGTTTCCTTGATCGTCAATCTTAATGGGGCCTGCAATTGATGTGTCAGCTGAATTTCCTGTAGCGGAATGCATGACGGAAGGTTTTGGAGGGACCACAGTGAAAGTTTTCATGCCGAAGCGCGATGTGACGTTGCGAGTGATTTTACCCTGTGAACTGCTAGAGCTGGAGTTATTTGGAAAAACTCTGTGCATCTGTTCAACTCTTTCTGTCGACGCTGATCTCTGACTGGATGGTGGTTGAACAGGTTTCTTCTCTTGAAAAGACTGAGCGTTGCTTTTGACAGGATCAGGTTTGATATCTGTGCTCTTGCTTGGTTTCTGCACCTCGACATCAGATTTGACCGCTGATGTTGTTCTTTGTTTATCCTCTTTCGCACTGTAGGCATTGGCGATAGTTGCGTCTTTAATTTTCATCTCTATTATCTTCTGATTGTGTGTATCACCTAAAGACTTGCTCTCAGCTGCCTTCCTGTGCTGCTTGGGTTGAGATGTCTGCTTAGTATTTGCACTGCTGCTTTTATTACTTTCAGCAGCTGTGCAAGCATTGTTGTTTTTGTTCTGTGGCTCTGTACTGGATTGTTGACATAAACCTAAACCTGTGATAAGATAGGGACAGAAAAAGAAAAGAAAATCACGACAGGTTTTCAATTGTATTGCATTGACATATTTGAACAATAACACAAAGCATAAATGACTGGACTCTAAAGGCACTAAATTCCAACAAAAAAGCACATATTCAGTTTCTGTTGTTCGACAGTTTTTCCTACCTTTGCTGCTAGATGACTTTGTCCTGGTGAGGGACTTTGCCTCATTTTCCGCAATTTCACGTTCGTATTCCTCCAGGACTTCATCTATGGCTGTGACTGGCACATCCATGTCCACTACAGACACTGGCACATCATTGCTGTCCAAAGACATGGTATAGGGAGTCTCTTTCACTGAGACAATATCTATTTGTTCTGGAAAAGGGGTGCAGAAGCAAGTGTGAACACATAATACTTTGATATTTGGGGCACATTTTGATTTGGATTGGAGACAACCATGGTTATTACCAACAGTTGCTTTGGAACAGTTACTTAATGTGGACCAGCATTAAACAAACCCATTAGACTAAAAATATAAATTCAGTGGACTGTGATTGATCCCCCCTCACCGGCAATGTTTGCTTCAAAGTCTGCCAAAGTCCGATGGAGCTGGGCTGTGAGCTTTGGGTCATCGTCATAGCTGTCTTTTAATTTGCTTGACTTTTCCTGGCCGCTGATGTCACAGTGTCTGAGGATGTTACAAGTTTGAGTGTCAAAAACACATCTGCAAATACAAACTTGTAATAACACAACAAGCCAAATTACACCTGCACATCCGCACATATGTGCAGTCGTAATACAGCTCTCTCTGTGACCTCATGATTTTTTGTTAACAGTCACCACCAAACAGCTGTTATGAATAGTGTATTTGCTGGTGCTGCATCCAGCACCCTTCCCGTTACTAATCTGCTCCAGAAACCTAAAGGGTAAATGCAGTTCAGAAATAGGACGAAGGAAAAAAAGGTGTTAGGATAAAATATTCTGTTTTTTCAAATTTGAATTTTATTTTTATTGGAGCCTGTTGGCTTAGAAATACGCAGCGGTAAAGATATTATTACCACAGTACACACTTTCTTTGCTCTCTTCATGGGTTCAGCGGAGCATTCTCTTGAGTTAGTGGTGTATTAGCCATAACAAATTGCAACACGGAGGCCAAACCAAATAGAATTTGTCTTCTAACAGACTTGGACTGGTCCTCCTTGCCTCAACGATTCTGAGAAAACAAGGTTATAGTGCTTTCCTGGAATACCGAGGAGCCAGCAGCATCGGGCCAGACCCTGGATTCATAAAGTTTCTCTTAGTGAGAGCATCAATCCAAGATCCCTGCTCTGGGCACTTGACCATGCACATTTCACAACATAAAAGGTGAAAAGTGATCTGGGGCAGCATTCATTTTCCACAAAGTCCTTTGAATAAGCGCCGAGACCCATTACTACGAAATCCCAGCATTAAAAGTTGAGGCTGCCAGCTTTGGCGACAAATCAAATACTATTATTGTGAAAACTGCACAATTTAAAAACTGTGGAGACTTTTAAAGTTGGTTAAATTGGTGATGTTTACCCTTCAGGGAAAAATACAGGTGTTAAATAAATGTGACTACAAAAAGCAAAGAATCCAACTAAAGACTGGAATGCAGGTTTTAGTTATCAGTGGTGAGGGCTGGCGACAGCAAGGTGAATAGCACATGCATTATGTTGGCTGCCAGGAAACAAGGATCAATTAAAATGGATTTAGTAATAAATGGGGACAGCAGTAGGAAAGAACTGAGACAGAAGATGGATACGAGGAGAGTAAATACTAGGAAGCATGAACTCAGATAGATTAATGAGCAAGGTAGAAATGTTTCTCTTGAGGCCAAAGCGGCGATGCATTAATGTGCTTCACCATCTTGAATGAGGCTTTAATCATCTTGTTGGACGAATAATTCATGCGTTGGGTCGATTTAAATGGAGTATGCTTGGCTTCATTTACTTCCCTCACTTTTCTTTTCAACCCACTTCACTGTATCATCAGCTTTCTGCGACTTTCTCTCTACCTGTGTCTTGATCCCCAGGTGGCACAGCCCTCGTCACTGTCACTGGAGTTGTCCCGTGCTGGTCCCAGCAGTCTCTCTCCTCCGCCTGCTCCGCTACTTCCATCCAGAGACAAACTCCCATCTGGGGATGTGGGTTGAGTGTCGGACGGAGAGCTGACCATGCCCGAATCCTCGCCCTCTGCCATGCCCTCTGAAGCGGCGTAACCCTGGTCAGGCAGGCTGCTGCCACCGCTGCTGCTGCCCAGTGACACAGTTTCCTCCTCAGGTGTTTCAGTCTCTGCTCTCTGGCCACTGGCTGCAGAGCTCCGCATGGAGTGGAGCCAGGCTGGTAGAGGATAGAGGACCATGTTAGCATCACTCGCATCACTGTCTTTTAAAACTGTGAGTAACTATTAGCACTAATCAAATTTAACATGCAGATCAAAGATTAAAGAGTGGTTTAAGATTGTGTTGAGTAGAAAATTCCATTTGTCAAAAGTAGGCTTCATAAATACCACTAGTTTTTAATCATGCCATGCATTATGTTAAAAACTTTGCACAGGGACTCTTTTAACCTCAGGAAATGATTACTGAGAAAAACAACACAACAAATCATGAGGACATTTGTTTGAAAAGAAGCAAAATGATGCAGAGGCAGCATGAAGAGAAGTCGAAAAAACACGGGGGAAGTATTTACGTTCGTTTCAACATTCATTCTGACACCACACACACAAACCAGAAAACACAAGCCAAATATACAAACACAAGCCCAGAGCACAACCACTTGTGGCTTGATAAAACATCTTTAATGATGTGTGGGTGGACTTGCTGTAAATAAACCCTTTTAATTAGATTTTTACAGTACTGGTTTAGGTTGCCTGTGAGAGACAAGTGTTGCTTCATACCCTCTCATCTCTTTAGTACAGTCATGCTCTGGTCAGTGCTGTGGGTTTTGGGAGAAGTTATTTAGCCTGTCACTGATCTCATTGAACTCCAGGCCAAGAGAATAAAAATCAATGCACCATTTGTTAGGTTTCAGCCGCCCGGCCAGCACACACAGCACTGGGAACTCAACAGGGGATTCTTTAAAATGAGTTTAACAGCGAGTGACCTTGTTAGTGATACCAGGTGTCTGTGAGTGTGTGCATGCATTTGGGCTCGCATTGTGCTCCAATATTTCTTCCTAAGTGTGCAGATGTGTGTGTGTGTGTGTGTGTGTGTGTGTGTGTGTGTGTGTGTGTGTGTGTGTACTGGGCCTGTCAGTTTTGGGCCTGGTCCTAATGGTGTTGAGAGAACAGTCAGTTCCAGGAGATGTGGTGATGACTCACAGAGCTGTCCTCCCAGCTCCTTCCCAGCAACAGCTTAGTCATGCCAGCTACAGCCACAATCAGTGTACGTACACACACACACACACACACACGCGCACACGCACGCACGCACACACACACACACGCATATGCATGTTTTCCCACTGTCTATTGCACTCACATGTTTACACAAGTATACTGCATGCTTACGTTATCAACAGACACAAGCACGTAGCTCAAACCTCCAACTCAGTATGACCTTAGGCACATGCTGCTGTTAAAGCCATAGAAAAGGTGTCTCCAATCCCAAGCAATTCAATAGTCATGTGCTACTAACTACAGCAATCCATGCATGATCCAAAAACAAAATCCTGTTCATCTTCATCAGGTCTTCAGCTCTTTAATTGAAAAATTATGTTCAAACATTTATCTTTTTATCACAACTCAGATAAGTGCATGTTCATTGGCACAACACAAAAGGCTTAATAAGTACACACCCACCAAGCTACACAATTTTTATCATAATTCAACTACTTGCAGAGGATAAATTACATTTTACATAAAAATGACTTTAACTGATCTAAAAACAAGCTAAAAATGGACGCGTCACAAAACTGTGAAATTGTGAAACTGGAAGATTTGATTCAGTGACACCACAAACGTTTGTATTCATACAGTTCAGCACAAGTCATATGATTTAAAAGCAGGGCTTCATTTCCTTCACGTGGTTAACACACAAATATAATATTTAGCTTTTTTAAAATATACATGTAATAATAGAGTGCTCAAAGTTGTAAACAAGCAGTCCCCTATGAAACCGTTTTCCCTCAAGGTTCAGATTTCTTACAAAGAATCAAATGATGTACTCTTCTCTGCTCTGGACCCAAACAATCAACCCTTCTTTCTCTTTTTAGATCCATACCCATCGTTTCAAAAACAAGCCGTAAAGCATCCATGCAACTATAAGTTGACACCAGAAAACAAAAATCAATGTGTAGTGTCAATCTTTCCACAGTGTAGACTGTAATGACATCTTCTATTTCAAATCCTTGTCTTAAAAATGCATGAGCCACTAGCACCTAAAAGCAACACGTCATTGACAGATCACCTTCTCCATTTTATTGCCCAAAGGCAGCTTGCATTCAAGTCTCTGGTTTCTATTATCATCCACAACACCAGGCACAGAGAGGGAAACATACGCTGTCCAACTATTGATCTGCAGATATCACATCACCAAAATATTGGCTGCTCAGATATTGCATGGCCTTTCCTCGTAACCTCATTTCAGCACGTCACTCATCAATCACACTGTAACTGATCCGTCCAGGGTTTAGCTCATCTGTCAACGTATCTTCTGACCACATTCTGCGTGTCCACTTTTACCTCATCCCTGATCTCATGCATAATCAATGATAGCCAGCAGAGAAGTATATACATGTATTTGTAAAAAAAAGAAGAAAATGAAACACAAAGCTATCTTGCTATCACATGTGGCATCTTCTGTCCTCATCAAATCAAAACAAAACAAAGTTATTGAAAACTGTCTTGAAGCATGACACCAAGTGAAAGCAAGGAATAGAAATGAGACAAGAAATAATTATGAGAAAATTGAGACTGTAACAAAAAATATATGAGGACAGAAGAGACAATAGAAGCATTTCTTAAAAGAGTAACAGAGAATGATGAACGTTCGAGGGAGGTCCAGCAGAAAGGAAAGAGAGGGAGAAGAATTCACAAAGGGAGCTGATGAAAAAGGACGCAGGAAGGGTCAAGCCAAAGAGAGACTTCAGGAGTGTTTGGAGCGCAGACGCACAGGCCCACAGCAGTACACTACAGAGGAGGGGGTGGGGTGGGGAGTAAAGAAAAGAACAATGTTACTTGAGATCCAGAACATTTCACTTGGTGGAAATGGAGAGGAAAACCACATTGAGTACGTAGCTAGCCAGATCATACAGAGGTAGAAGGTTGAATACCTAGGGTTCCACATCTCTTCCATTATACATATAATATACTCCAATGTACTGTATAAATGCAACATAAAATGCACTCCACTTGATTGGTGTTGACCCCCGACCCTGACCTTTGGGCCCAGAAGAAATAACAGCATCTACAGGTTGACATTTATAGATATGAAGCACCTTGACCTCACATGGCCCCAGTATCACTTAACAACTCAGCTGCCAGGGGCCGCTGATTGAGAGATGCAAAGCATGCAATTGCAATATTCACACAGACACATGAGCACAGGTTTGGCAGAAAAATTGTTGCAGAAATATACAACTCTGATTGAGACAAATGAGGAAGAAGTTAGAGAACGAGGAGAGCAGCTTCTAGGAGAGAAAAAGAAAGACCAGGAGTGAGGCTGAAGGGAGATGGAGTCCATCTGGAACCTACACTGGGGAGCTGCTTCCTCCATCACCATGGGATTCTCTGGGGAGTGATTTTCTGTGAGCTCAGTGGGAGGGGAGGGCGGGGGAGGAGTGGAGGGGGTGCGCTGTGCCAGTGCCAGGGCCGGGGAACGACGGGGTTTGGGTGGCGCTGCTTGATCGATGGTTCCTGGAGGAAAATGAACATGTAGGCAGAGCAGACACGGTTGTTCATGCTTGTGAAAAAAAAATAAAAGGAAGGTGAAAACAGTTATCTCACATGTAGACTTCTTATCAAGCTGAAAAAAGTAAAGACAACTTTGTTCAAAAAGATCTAATTTAATCATTTTACAATGTTGTAATTTACTTTGTTTTAACTCTTTTCTCATCTGTAACTCTTTATTTTTGTATTTGTGCCCTAGTACTGTGTGATCTTCAAATTGCTTTGAATTGTTTGCTTTTGTTCCTTGAATTTTTAATTTTCAACTTTTACAGCACCATGTAACTGTGTTTTGAAATGTGCTACATAAATATAAAGTGTATTATTATTTGTTTTTTCCTCTTTCAGATAGTTGTATCTTTGCTTTTTCTGGAAGCAGAAGTTTGAGTTTCTGTAGGCAGATCTAATTTCTTAGAGCTGAGCCATAGAGGTTATTGCTGTAAAAGAGGAAAGTTAGTCCAGTACTAGCAGTATACTCATAAGTATGTAGTGGAGGGAATCTGTAGAAGGTACCAGCAACAACCAGATTGCAGCTATGTTCTAGTTCACATCAATTCTGTATCTTGTAAAACTGCTGTTTTCTTAGCTGAACACTCTACCCATGTGCAATATATGTAAATGTGCAGACCGTGATACATAAAGAACAGGAGACAGGTGACGCTGAAGATTGTAGTGACAAATGGGATAAAATCAATCTGGATAACATATTGATAGATGTAGGGGCGAAAACACAATTACTGTAAAACAGCAGTGCTGAAATGCAACTACCAAACTTTCCTCATAGGCTTGTGATGCATCAGTGTGCTTTGTCTTAGTCAGCAGGTGCTGTCGATGCGCTGCTTTATCGGTTTACTCTGTTGTCGACAATAGGAGGGAACTGAAACGGCATGCAGAGCAGAGATGATAAAGTACACCGTCATAACACTGACAGCCTCTAGAGAGCATGCACACATGCATGAAAGGAATAAAAGACTAACTGAAACCTAATAAATGCACTATATACATGTCTGTCTCTGCCTATACAAGCATGAGGGCACCACCATATATGTGTACGTGTAGTTGCCTAGCCCCAACGTGTATACCATCTATTCATTCACTGCCAAATATGTACTGCTCATGTGTAACAAAGTTCTCAGCTTGGCAATGAAACGTATATCTTACAGCCAAAGTGAAAAGCGGATGCTGGTTTTGAGAGAAGTTGGCTTTGGAAATAAAAGTATTTTAGAATAAACATTTTAATTTCACAGCAAATTGTAAAGGGGAACAGAGGGAGACTAGAAAAAGGCAGAGTCAAGGCGAGGAGAGAGAAGACGAGGCAGTCAGCAGTGTGTCAGGACACAGAAAAAGGGAAGTAGCTTGGTTTATAAATGTATTTATGACCCCCATGCTGTCTGTTCTATCCTGTCTAATGCACAAACCTACTCATACAGTACTTCATCCTTTCTCTAGCTTTGATGTGGCTGTCCATCATCCTCCTCTTCTTCTTAAACCCACCTAGTCCCGTTGTTTCTACCTTGCTACCCCCTGTCATCCCGCTGCCAAAGCCTTCCCATGCTCCTTTCTCTGAACTCTGTTCTGGTACCGTCACCTTTCTCATCCCTTTTCTAAGGTCTGCAAGTCTCTCATGTTTGCCCCTGTCAGACATGACAGCCCTCTGCTGCAATCTCACTTTGCTACAGAGCAAGATCCAGGTTACGTAAAGATCAATATGAGGCCAGCAGAAGTTCAAGTAGAACCCATTTAAATCTGTGATGGATCCGTCTGACTTTACATCTGCACATCTGCCAGCTTTGAAGGTTTGTGTGTAGGGCTGCATGAATACGAGAGAGAAATAAAGAGAGGGATAGAGAAAGAGAGAGGGATAGAGAGAAAGATGAGAATTTGAAGGATTGATCAGCGTGGGCAGGAGACAAGGAGTTCATTGTCTCATGTGGTACAATGAAAACCAGCTCCGCTAGTTCTTGTACTTAAGCTATAACAGGCATCAACAACCCCCAACCCCCAACACACACACACGCAC